AAAAAGGAGAGGGTCTTTGCGCTCTATCATACCAAGAGGAAAGTCCTTATTTTCTTATGCTGCTTTGAAAATAGTAAACACATGGGAATCTAAGAGGTTTGAAAAATATCAGGATGACAAGATGCAAACAATAGTTATTAAAAGTAGATAAAAATATTCCAAGAACTGAAATAAAGAAATGGGGGGGGGGGAGAAGGGAAGTTCTTAAATTAAACCATTACTTGAACAAGGCTGCTCAAATTTTCTATCCTACTTGTATTCTTATGGAAAGGGGAAAAAAAAGTAAGCTTGGAATCACATTGGCATCACTTTAGAGGTGCCAAGGTTACTCTTGAAGCTGCTTCTTGCCCAAACAGCTAAGCTGTCTATCATCAATCTGCTTCTGGGGTAAATAGGATACTGGCTACTGTCCCAAATTCAAGCAATACAAACAAACAAGAAAGAAATCTATGTTAGATTTGTAAAGTGAAATAAGACCTTGCCTAGCTGGAGAGCTCTAGGGCAGCGCTGAGCCCCTGAACTTGCTAGGGACACTTTTCCTCTCCCAAGAGATTGCACTTGCCTTTGAACTTTCAGCCATATAGAAAAAAGGCTGAGTTGAAATGTCAGCATCATCTTGGATTCAAATCAATCAGCTTGATGCATGATTGCAATAGCTAAACCACTTCACCTCTGCACTGCCCTCGTCCATATGTTCTTTATATCAGCAGTCAGCAGACTGGGTGGCTCAGTGGATTCATTTCCTGTCCTAGGCTTGGGCTCCAGTTTAAACAAAACAAAAAAACCCTGAAACTGGAAAATAAAAATCAGCATCTACTGACAGTTAAATTCACCAGACTTGTTTGCATCAAGTCTCTTTCTCCATTCAAGAAAGTTGCAAGAAACCCTTTGGGAAGGCTTGGTACAACTGGTGATTTTTAACTATCTACTCAACTAGCTGGTCACAGTTCTACAAAAACAATAAAGGAATTAGAGACCTTTCAAATGTTGACATACCTTTGCATGAGGGGAAAGCAATGAAGGGAAGGGGGGGGAGAGCCCCAAGCAGTGTCGACTTAAAGGAAACAGACTGGAAGCAGCCATCCCCACCTCAGTAAATTAATAGCCCACTGAGTAGCAAAATCTGCACCCGCTTCCAGAGCTGGTCTTCCTCCAGATGCTGCTGCTCTTTATCAGCTACAATGCAAGAGTTAAATTCCCAAGATAATTTAAGTCTAAACAATGTGCAGCCTTCAGCATTAATGTAGGTGCCTGCCAGCTGGTGACAGTTAAGTGGTTACTTTCTCAAGCTAAACTTATTAGCTGAGGATCAAGACACTCTGTAATAATCGAATTGCATTTAACAGCTTGCTCTATCAGAGCACAGTATGTTACTGCGGAAGGGGAGTTTTCTCATTGAAAGTGTGAGACAAGACTGGCTTACAACAAGCCAGTCTCATCAGGAGTCTGTCATACTTTGGGGCTAGACATCCACGCTGAACTGTATCCTTTGCAAAAGAAAAGTTGACCTGCCATTTGGGAGATAACAAGAAAGTATGCATGTTGGAAATAGCTGCACTGCAGCCTTTGAATGATTTCAAGTTCTTTGACTTGGTTTCCTTGGTTCACCCTCCCACCATCCTATCTTCCCTCATAAAACGCTAAAAGAAATAAATTAAAAAAGGGCAAGGAAGGCCTCATAAAAAGACAGCTAGTAAAAATAATCCATCCTCCAGACAGGCTACAGTGGCTCCCCCAAAGACACTGTTCCAGAACAGCACAAAAAAGGAGCTAGTGTCAACCCTGCTCACTGGGGATTAAAGAAAGAATCAATAGATAGGATCTCTCAAGCCTCAAGATGCAAAAAACACCATCAGTCTGAAGAAGGGACCGCACAGCCGTGCTCATGCACATACAACTCCCAAAACTCCTCTGTATGCTTGATCAATCCATTATCTCCTGACTTAGCCTGCCCTACTCATGAAAACGCAACCTTATTATTCCAGGGCCCATTGGGAAACAAAACTTTTTACTTCAGTCTCTGGAAACAGGAGACATCTTGAAGTGGAAGCTCAGCGCCATTGTAGTTGCTATCCTGCTGACACATTGTGCTGGTTTTGGCTGGGACAGAGTTAATTTTCTCCACAGTAGCTAGTATGGGACTACGTTTTGGATTTGTGCTGAAAACAGTGTTGATAACACAGGGATGTTTTCATTACTGCTGAGCAGTGCTGACACACAGTCAAGGCCTTTTCTGCTTCTCCCCCCACCCTACCAGTGAGCAGGCTGGGGGTGCACGGCCTGGGACAGCTGATCCCAACTGACCAAAGGGGTATCCCACACCATATAATGTCATGCTCAGCATATAAAGCTGGGGGAAGAAGGAGGAAAGGAGGGGACATTCAGAGTGATGGCATTTTATCTTCCCAAGTCACCGTTACGCGTGATGGAGCCCTGCTTTCCTGGGGATGGCTGAACACCTGCCTGCCCATGGGAAGGAGAGAATGAATTCCTTGGTTTGCTTTGCTTGCACGCACAGCTTTTGCTTTACCTATTAAACTGTCTTTATCTCAACCCACGAGTTTTGTCACTTTTACCCTTCTGATTCTCTCCCCCTTCCCACTGGGGGGGGAGTGAGCGAGCGGCTGTGTAGGGCTTAGTTGCCCGCTGGGGTTAAACCACGACACACATGGAGAACAATAGTGACTGTCAGAGAATTAGAGCAATTGCAACATAACAAGAAGGCAAGTTAAAAATAGTGCAGGTCCAATCTGCCTTCAATCATACCTACCTCACATCAACATCAAAAGCACCAGCTGCACATACAAATGAAATGAAATATTGAGGAGAAATCTAGCTAATAAAAAAAAGATGAAAGTGTTTTGAGGTTCTACCCTGCTAATTTGCTGTAGCTTCATAACTGCATTGTTTTTGTTTTGTTTCAGTTTAGTTTTCTTTTGTCTGCTGTTTCCAGGAGGGACCCACACAGATGTAAGCATCCTACCCTCTCAGAGGAACCAAATTTGTAGTAGGAGAGAGTGCAGAAAGGAAAGAGTACAAAAGACTTTACATCAGGTGCCAAAAAGCCCTAAAAAACTCTTTTCAGCCTCTTTTACTTACAATTTCAAGTGACACTAACATTAAGAATTAACATAAGGAGAAAGTAATACTTCAATTTTAAAATTGATGCCTCTGGACAGCTTGAGGTGCTGTGCATACCACTAGCATCAATACTGCTGCTAGAAATTAAGTGGCACAACCCTGCTGTACTAGAAAGGGGTCTTTTTTTTTTTTATTTTCCTCCTTCTTTCAAGGATATGGGACTGTCGGTAGCACCAGATGTTTTAGGGAAGAAAAAAGGTAAAAAGAATCTCACACATGAAAGTGAGGGCTTGCTACTGGCTTTCTGCTCACACTCTGCAGACAGTATCCAAGCCCAAAAGAACAGTTCCACCTTGAAAACTGACCGCATAAAATTGTCACCTCGTTCCACAGACCTGCTCCTGCGAGATCGCTGCTGACTTTCTCAAACAAGCTTACGCTGGCTTTTTATTTCCACTTAACTCTGCTGAGACAGATCTGGCACTGTGGGAGGGAGCTGGATTCTCTCCTTTACACCAGCAGCACCACTAAGCTGTAATTACTCACACCTGTCCAAACCTACAGGCACAAATGGGCTGCACACATGGGCTTCTTGGGTCCCAGGTCAGATCCTCGGCCAGGCTGAGCTGCAGCTACTTTGGAAATAACGATTCTGCTACAGTCCTTAGCATCCCTCTCCCCTGCAGCGACAGGTAAAAATCCAAGCTGCACAGAGCAGCTTCTCTTTCCCAGGCTCACTTCTTTTAGCAGCATGCTAAAATGCAAAGCTCTCTCCTGCAGACTGCAATTTAGGGTACCTTTGTCACTTTTAAAGACTTTTCTTGAGCTTCTGGGAAGCTATTGTTTCCTCAGCAGCCTGAAGCGAGCTGCTGTCTGCAACCGTCATTCTTTGTGACTGTAACAAGACAACTTCTAGTTACAGATTTGCCCGAATTGCGTGGTTAGCACCAAGATATCACAGCAGAAAGAAAACGAGGTACAGCTACAAACAGCAGTCTTAGATGTTGGGCACCCCCAATGACCCTTCACCAGCTAGCAGAGGCAGGCTGTGTTGACCTGATGCAAATGAACAGAAAACTCAAGGCTTAGTTTGTCTCCCATTCATAAGCCATGAACACTCATGACACAGGTGCAGCAGATGCCTTAGTGCCTAAACCTGAAACTCAATGGAGAAGCAGGACTTGTGTCAAAGCTCCAGAAGCAACAGTTAAAGCAGAAAACATTAGGACGGAAAATGCAAAACATGCCCTTTTTGTCCATCATTATGAGAAAGGGAGAAGACTTTCTTCCAGCTCTGGAAAGAGCCCTGTGTTTTCCTCTGTCTGAAAGATCAGATACCAAACCCAGAACTGTGTTTTCACATGCACTGTGCAACCTGAATGTTGCACCAATAAGTCAGGGGGCAGGTGGGAAGGGGAACCAGAGGTGCCTAATTTAATTCAAAGCTCTCTGGGAACACATATTATTTGTGTCCAGACCTTACAGGCATAACTCCTACAAGCAGCCATCCAGGGGCCAGTTTTCAGCAGCTACAGCAACTGATGGTGATGACAGTAGGATGTAGAGAAGATAACACAATGACATGGAGAAAGTGCATTTCCTGAAGGACTGTGCAATGGGGACACCAAGCATGAGCACATCTATAAACAAGTCATCCCTGAGTACCCATTTCTTCATTTCTTCCCCCTCCCTGTTCAGGCTTCTTTGCAGGCATTCAGTATGGTCTGTTTTCCAAGACCACCTTTTAGAGCTTGTGTGTGAGCATTCAGATAATGATGGGGAGTGAAGAGGATAGGTGATCTGTTCCTGTGTTTGATAGGCGTAGAGCAAATTAAGTAACAAAACCCAACTCAACCCAGCCAGTCCATCCACACATCCCCTTGCTGCTCTAAGGACAGATGCATTGCCGGATAACTTACCCTCTTCACAGTTGCTCCCCGTGAAGCCAGGACAGCACCTCCACTCCAGCGTGGTCACAGTTCGGTAGGACATTTTGTACGTGGGCCTGATGAGAGTCCTGTAACTAACACAAACAAGGAGTCAGTAGAATGCACTTACCTACTCAAGGGCAGTGTTGCTACTAATTCATAGCACATCTTCCTGCCTGCATATATCCCCAGAGCACCCAGCCACCCCCAGCTGCAGAAAAAGGAGACACACAAAATAACAGAGCAAGGGTTTATCACAGTGTGGATCTGATTCGACAACCCTTATTTTTCTCCTTAAGCCCTCATACTCTTCTGTTTCTTCCCCACACCTCTCCCCCAAATAACACCAGTATGCTTTGTGGAGGTCTCATCACTACGAAGTTGTTGCAAGTAGCAAAGATGATGACTTGTTTCCTTCACTCTACCTCCACATGGACTTCTCTGACATTGAACAAAGGCTGGCATTAGCCTTTCCTCACTCAGTACTAATACAGTTTCCAAAACATTACTCCCTACAAAAATTGCATATATCTCTCGGGTGTCTTCCCTTCTCCCACCCACACCACTGGGGTGTATCAAGACATCAGCGTGACAAAGATCATCATGACATAACACTACATCAGTGATTTGCATGGAGCCTTTTTTACAGCTAGCTGACCTGTGCCTCAGTTTTCCCCATCTGAAATAGGGTTACACTCTTCCTCACTACAGCTGAGGTTCTGCAGGACACATTTTTTAGCTCTGTGTACAGCACACAGCACCCCCAGGGTCTCAATTAAAGCATAAGTACTGCCATGCCCCACTGGAAACTAGAGGGCTACCGGCAGACACAAGCAGACCTGTGCAAGGCACCAGTGATTCTGAAGTCAATGCAAAAAGGACAGTTGCATAAATGCCAGCTTTTCTTTTAAAACAGCGGCCCTTCAAAGCTGGCAAATCAGAGTTTTCCCAGTATACAGCCAGACAAGTCACTGCTGCAATTCATGAAGCTAAAAGCAAACACAGAAGTAAATCTACAAGCTCCCCTCGAAATTCCTACCCTTGTTTAACAGCCAAAGGAATTTGGCATGCACAGGGAGAGGCTGAAGCTTTGGGATTACAGTGTTGCAGGCTGCAGCTTTATTCTTCTCTCTCAAGGCCAGGCAGACACAAGCCCCGAGCACCCGGGTCTCCTCAGGGGAAAAGCCTCCTCCCGCAGTGCTGAGAGCCGCCAGGAGACGGAGCGCTGCCCCAGCCTGCTCTGCCTGCAGCACTACCCCACGCTCAGCTGGGCACAAGGCCAAAATGGAACTAGAAATTGCATGAATCTCATCCAAAACTCCTCCAAGGGGTAGCAGGCACAGGTGTACATCCAGGACGGCACTGCAGTGACATTGGTAGTTACTCTGAAGAGCAGTAACTAAGGCTTGCCAGGAGGGGCTGCCCATGTATGTCTTGGAAAGAAGGCAGCAGCTCAGTCGTAGTTAACACAGTCGTTGGGAAACTAATTTCTCAGTAAGCTGTTGCTGATTATTTATGCCAGCTGCCAAACACAGAAACCAACTTCTCCTATAGCCACCAGAGAGGAGGGCTGCACAAGCTTCCTCCTGAGCACGGCGCTGCCTGCACTTGGAACGGCATCGCCCAGTGATGGGAGAGCAACTGTCTCCCGAGAACATTACGTTCTCACCCTCTGAGTTGCCAAAAAGCACGCCAGTTACTGCTAATACCGACAACTGTGATCCAGGCACTTGTCTAATACGGGCTGGACAGAGCCAGCTCGTCCCACCTAGTTCTTTGCGCTTCTGCATCCAATGGTATTCAGGAGTTTGCAGTCATGAGTGAGTTTGAGGACTTGGCACCACGTTGATGTAGGTTGACCTTCAGCACTTTTTCACAGAGAGACCTAAGGCATGAAGACTTTAAGTGTCTTGCTGAGGGTCTCTCAGAACAGCTCTGGCAAAGTTCAGGAACCAAACCCAAGTCTCCCAACTCCCAGTCCTGGCGTTGGACTCGAGACATCTTTCCACACGTAAGCCCCGAACCATCAGTCAGAAGTTCATGACTTCGTCACTAACACCACAGCTGGATTTGACCTTGAGATGAAAGTCTCCAGCCCTGTTACCAGTGTCCGGAGCCAGCTAGTCTCCAACCACACCGTGATTTTAAAACCATGTTTCTGCCAACACCAAGATGTTAAAGCTCTCTCAAACTTCATTATGAAGTGTGGAGAGTGGCTTGAGCCAGACTGGAATCTTGGCAGCAGTTCTGTGTCGGGGAAGTAGCTGTAGTTTAATCCTCAAACGAGCGAGGACTTCTCAGGGCATGACAAACGTGGAGCTCAGCTGTCACAGCCTACCACCCACCCTGAATTTCCTGGAAGAGTCCTGACATTTGCAGCTCTGTTCAGCATCGTGCAGTCAGGCATGCAAAGTGGTCCCAGCTTGCTAGCTCCGATTTGCTCTAAAGTTGCTCTGTTCTTCATAGCATCGTTTTTCCTCAATCATGTGACACGGCACCAGGGTCTGTTGTTACATATATCATCACTTCACATCACGCAGATTTCTGACTGCTATTCCAGGAGGGGAGCAAAGAAAATTCCTCTAGCAAAGCATCACCACTGTCTGATACCTCAAGTGTTGCAATTGAAGGAGAGGAAAAAACATGGAAAAAGGAGAGGAAAAAAGATACCTGTTAAAGATCAGAAACCTCAGAATGAAAACGTGTGGAAAACGCAACAGGCAGAAAAAAGGATTGGTAGTAGAATAGGGAAGCCTTTCCCTTGGATGTCACCCAAGCCACAACCACTGGCATAGAAATCTGCAAAACCACAGTAAGAGAAGAGGTTAGAACAAGCCACAACCTGCACCCCTTTGCTTCCCAGACAGCCAAAGGATGTGCTCAGCATACACAGTCCCCTTCAGCAGAAGCCTTCCAAGCACTTCACAGAAAAGCAAGTTACCAGGACCTGCCACTCTACTGCAAGAGATAGGCGTCATCTACCAACATGTTTGCTGAGGCTCACAGCAAGGTCCCAGGGAGTGGGGCAACACTGAGGGAAGAACCCAGAAAACTCAACTAGCAGCCACTCCTGTTACTAGATCAGATCAAACACCTGGCTGTCCTTGGAGGCTGCCTGCTCAGTGTCAGACAAGCTACAGGAGCTCATCTGCAGGCAGTCATCATTTGGGAAACAGAGTCTCTTGCTTGTGTCTCTCTAAGTGACCGCCCAGGAAGTGGTAATTTGGGGAGGGAGCACAAGATGACTGATTAACTGATTTGGGAGTATGAAGCTAGAAATACTGGAGAGGTCAGGACACATCGAGGGATGGCAGCCAACAAGTCTCACGCCTCAGCACACAAGGATATGTTCCCCTTGCTCTCAAGGAAGTGTCACTGAACACAACAGCCAGACATGACACAAGATTTTTTTTCATTCTTGGATCAGAGCCTCAAAAATCAGGTCAAAGAGAAAGACGTGATCTGTGCCATGACCCAAGCAGGACAGCCTGTCACACACAGGAAATTCCTTCTCCCTTTGTGGGCTTCCTCTGCCCTTTGACACTTACAAAGCTGTTTGTACACAAAGACCACATGAGAGGTAAGGCGTGAAACTCATTTCCACCTCACCAGAGATGGTTTTGTTAGTGTGATTCATTCAGCCATTGCAGTTTGTGCCCGAGGAGACCTTGATGACCATCAGAGGCTTCTATTAATTTTTATTCAAGTTCCAGGTTGAAAGTTTCAACATCGCTTACAGGTGGGTTTCAGGATAACAAGAGGAATGAACTTGCCTTTTTGACTGGCAAAGAATCTGGAAACCAAGGAATCCGAGCTTTCTTTTACCTACTATTCTCATGGCAATGAAGTCACATATCAACCCAGTAGGTCCAACCCTGTACATATAACTGGCATATTGTCTTTCAAACAGGGAGAATCCATCTTCACTATAACAAGTGCTACCTCTGCATTAAAAGAGGATCAGAACAAAGCTCGTGGTAGTTCCTCTAATTTTTGGTACCCATGGCCTGATTTACAGACATGCCAAAAATCTAAAGTTCCCCACAGAGAATCAGGGTGTTCTGAAATCAGATTTTAGATACATCAGGTTAAGTAGCCAAATCTTGAAGTACTTGGCTGCCTTGGAAAGAAGGCAGGTTGGAAAGAGCTGGGCAAGTATTAACATAGAAAAGAATATCCTATGGGTGTACTCAGAGAGTCCGTTTCGCTATCAAGAACATATTTGGTTCCCAACACCACCATCCCCACTCCAGCCTACAAACAAAGCTGTTTGTACACAAAGACCACATGAGAGGTAAGGCGTGAAACTCATTTCCACCTCACCAGAGATGGTTTTGTTAGTGTGATTCATTCAGCCATTGCAGTTTGTGCCCGAGGAGACCTTGATGACCCTGTTTTATTAAACATGGCAGAGCCCATCACTCTGTAACTCAGCCCTGTGCTTTTTTTTTTTTTTTTCCCTCCTGCAGCCCCAGCTCTTCCAGCTTCCCTAGCACAAAGGCTGTTCCCCAGGGAAGAACATAACCAGAGGAGTTTCAAATATGCTCCTGCAGACACTGGACAAAAAACAAAACCTGCAGCTGCAGGAGTGTTGGAGGCCATTGTACATGTCTCCTGCCTTTACCAAAGGGGAGGAAGAAGACTCTGTTTAACTCTGAGCATGTCTGGTTTGCACAACTTATCAAGAGTCTAAAACCCAGAAAACAGAAGCTTATACACCTCCCATCCCAAGTTGTACAAGGGCAGTACTTCACAGTCTCTCAGGCCCAAGAAAGACAAAGGACACAGAGACAGATGTTTCTATGCCACCAGAGTAATCATCAGCTCCCATCTTTATTAACAGTTAGATGTCAGTGCTATTGCAGAGCAGCACTGCACTTCCCTACCAGGAAGGGGGAAGAGTGCCCAGACAGCATGTCTTGACAAGATCAAAAGGCCTTCAATTAGCAGCCTGAGGACACCTGTGCCTGTGCACAATCTACAAAGCAGATGGCCCTCCACTTGTGCCCAGCCAGCCGCACACAGCCATCCACACTGTTCCCAAACCTGAGAACACGTCTTTGTGCTACAGCTCTAATCCCTTACACACCCAGAG